AAGCTAATCCGTAAGTTTTCCATGCTTTTACTTCCATTTGTGCGTAATTACTTTTATTAGCTGCTAACTCATTGTTGCGCTTTTGGACTCTTTGATGAGGAAAAGAAATGGTGAAAGTTAGAAAGTTAGGGAAAAAAAATATAAAAAGCGCGTTTTTGTGTTTTCTAAAAAAAAAAAATCTTATATATATATATATGTATATACATATATATATATATATATACGTATATATATATACATATATATACATATATATATATATGGTGCATAAGCATTGCTGGCTACTTCACATGTATTAGTTTCGAAAATCTGTCTCATTTCTTTTTTTTTCTTTCGACAGTGTTCTAATTATCATCATGATAATAATGAGCTTGGTGATTGCTCGGCTCTGTGATTTATTTTGATTTAATGGTAATTTTGAAATGTAATGTTTCCTCGGAATTTTTAAATGAATTTTTTAAGAGATGCAACAGGTGTTGAGCTTCATAAAGAATCGAAATGGTATGCAAGCTGGAAAAGTTTTTCGGAGAACAATGCTTACTATAATAGTAAGATTTTTACCTTCCTTTTCATATTTTGTTCTACAGCTAAAATTGGAATAGCACGGCTTTTTTTTTTCAATAAATTTATTGTTTCTGCGATCTGTACTGTGATATGTACTGTTTTATTTGTCGTTTTGATTGTGTTTCATTTTGCTCTTGATGCAAATTACAACTTCTCCATTCTTCTTAATTTTGGTCTTCTCTTATTCATAAAATTTCTTATTTCTTTACAATTCTGAGTTTCTTTCTATCTTCTTAACATTACGTGGGTACCATTCAGTCGCTCATTTTTATGTGTTTCATGCTGTGTAACAGCTGTACAAAACGTATATTGTCACGGGGTTGCCTGTGTGTATGTGCTTGTGTCTGTTGTGTGTGTGCGTGTGTGTGTGTGTGTGTGTGTGTGTGTGCCCAATGCATCTTGTCCGCAACTTTCACCTCGGAAGATGAAATTTTAAGGGAATGCCTTACCTATATGTAACCCCGCAAATTTAATTTCAGCCTTCCTCTGCTCGCGACTACCACGTATTATCTCGTGAAAGCTTTGACGGACAAAGTTATTATCTCGAGAACTATGAAAGATTGGAAGCTAAAATTTTATTTTCCTTCTGTATCCATCATTCTCTTCACTTGACTATCCTAGCTATTCTTGGCATACACTACTCGAATCATATCACTTTACACCACATCTAAATCGCTGAACTTTTGTGATATAAGCTGTCTGCCCCTGACCGTGCATTGTTGCTTGGCTCGTTTGGTTACCGCTAGCTTTTTTTTCTGAGCGCGTGTGTTGCTCCATTCCTAAGGGATTCAGTGAAACTGTGTGAGAGTAAAATCTCCTTAGGAAAGAAGATCTGAATTACACCATATTCGTGGTGCTACTTTTATATTAGCGTAAATTGTACAGCTAATCTATCACCAGATGTCTGTGCATGCTAGTAGTTTTTTTTTTTTTTTTCAGAAATTCTGGACTGGAAAATGCGCTTGGATGAAAGTGATAATTTAGCTGCGAGAATAGCACGCGGTGTCACCGACAAAGTTTCCTCACTGCTCGGTTTGTTCTTTGAAATCGTTAAAAAAGAAGGGTTATTGCTAAGTTTCTTTTTTCTGTTAGCGGTTTAAA